GAGATATCCTCGCGGCGATGAATAGAATTAGCAAATTTTAAGAGACAACTTTTATTTTCCATTAAGCTGGCTGCAGCATTAAGAGTGCAGGCTTCGCAGCCATCTGCCTTGGTCAGAATTCTGGCGCTGCCATTTGTTAGCGATGTGATCTTGACTGAGTTTCTTAAAATCTGCTCCGTTTTCCTTACCTGTGACAGAGACAAGGGGCTGCTCCAAAGTGAAAAGCTCCAGCTAACGTGGTTCGAATGGTTAGAATTAAGTTAAGGTACGTACTCAGAGCCGTGCCTGGCTAAGTAGGCACTGGCTGCTCAAACAGCCAAAAGAAGGCAGGGCTGAGGAGCTGGCCCCACTGGGGCAGAGCCTGCGGCACAGGCATGGTGATTTGAGTCCGGTCCCGGCACCTAAGCAACACCAGGTATGGCGGCACACACCCTGTAATCCCATCCCAGAACTGGGGAGGTGGAGACATGCGGATATTTGGGGGTCTTTGACCAACGGATGAATTGATGAGAGACCATGGTTTAAAAAAAGAGATGGGGATGACTGAGAGTGACCCCTGACACCAACTTCTGGCTTCAATATGCAGATGTGCACATGCAACACTCCCCCGTCACACACACACACACACACACACACACACACACACACACACACACACACACACACACACACACACGAGAGATACGACTGTCCTTGGCACAATGGTAGAATTGACTGTCCAACACTGAAATCTGCTGTTTTACTTTGGGATTTTACATTCAATTCTGGGTGTTCCTACAATTTTAAGTGTTGACCGTGGTGATGGGCATAGAACCATGCCAAGGGCAGAACATACAAAAGGCTGGCATAGAGAATCTGGGATTTTTTTTCTTTTGAAAGCAGGGCTAGAAGCTGAAATAAAGCTTGAAAACCGGAGTTTCTGACACCGACAGAGCCAGGAGCATAGGGATGGCATCGGAGAGGACAGGTGTGGAAGTGCTTTGATGCTCTGTCAAGGGCAGAGAGGGAAAGAAGCCACTCTCCCTGCCCTGGCGCTACAGACGAGCCTGATTCTCAGGTCTCAACTTTGTTGTCTGAAATCAGAGTTCAGTCCAGACATGCTCTAAAGTAAAAAGTGGCTGTGGGCCTCTGTGTGCACTGCCTGTCCCTGGAAGTGAGGCCCTGAGACACAGGGGGCAGTCAGGTATGATGATACTTATGTTGGTTTTGGTTTGGGATTCAGATTCCGAAGATCTCTTTCCATCTAAGACTCTAGGGACTGTCTTAAGTATTTTAGTTGGCCTTTTTATCCCTCATTCCTACCCCCTAGCTTCATCTCCTCAGTGGAGATCTTTAGATTTAAACATTTACATAAGAACTCCAGACTAAAGTGTGATTTCTATTCGGCAGTAATTCCCAGGCACATAAAACTCACAGCCCTTAGTGACCTCCCGGGAAAACTCAGGGTACCATTTTCTACGCTGTCTAAGAGACCACAGAAGAATTTCTAGATGACCATGTTATCACCACTACCTCTACTCTGGGTTGCAAATGGGAAAAATGGAAAGTATCAGGGTCACTGCCTCCCTGGGAGCAGGTGTCAGAATTCATGGCTGTGTCCTGAGAGCTGGTGTCTGAGCAAGTTTAGGATGTGCAGGTTGTAGAGTGGATGCCTCAGGAGAGGGAAAGGGAGGTGGCTGAACACAGCAATGGTGGATTGGCTGGCAGCTGTGAGCCACAGAGCTGTACACATGAATATCTGTGGCCTGAGGTTTCCAGGCACACTTCAATGTTTATTGACCATGTCTCACGTGGAAGACACTATGCTGGGCACTCAAGGACACTTAAGGACACTACCCCTCTAGCAAGGAGTTTCTGGACTGGTTGGAAAGCAAGAACTGGCAGCAGATACTTTGCATAATATTGTATTAACCAGGGAAACAGAGCAATCGTCACTAATAAGTCACGGTTTATTGTAAAGACTTGACTCAACAGTGGAGGCTGCTCCCATGATCTGCTGTCTGCAAACTGGAGACTGGGGGAACCAGTGGTGTAATTCAAGGGCCTGAGAGCCTGGGAGCTCGAGAGCTGACTGTGCGGACTTCAGGCCGAGTGAAGGAGCATGAAGGGCATGTCCATGGGCAAGCCATTAGACAGAAAAGGAATTCACCTTCCTTCAGCCTTTTCGTCCTATTCAGCCTTCTGTAGATGAGACAGTGCTCACCTATGTGGTGGAAGCAGCTGTTTTAATCAGTTCCCAAGTTCAGGTGCTCTTCTGGAAACATTCTTACAGACACACCCGGAAATAATATGTAACCAGGAAACTGGACCATGGTTAAGACCAGTTGCCATATAACTGAGCAGGACTTCATGTTTACAAAGTGGCATCAGGCAATCCATTCTCCTCTCACAGCCTGTGCACTAGACTCTTCAAGCATCTTTAGAATAGCTTATGAGGTCCCCGTGACCTGTTCAGTCAGGGAACCACAGCTTTGGAGCTAAGCTCCTACCTGAGCTCTGTGTGTGAGTGCTGACTGAAGAGCCCTCCCTTGCTTTCACTGATGTAGACCTAGGAATGTCCTCTCACTCCTAGTCCAGTGCTCTCTCCAACTCAGCACATTAACAGGCACGCACAGGAGAAGTTAAAACCAATGTGAAGACCTCACACTAAAGAACAAGGCCTAAACTTGATGCAGATTGCTGTGGCTGACTATAGTGGGAGGTGGGATATGGAGATGGGTTAGAGTGGGTTGAATGGGACAAAGGAAGGTGGTTCACACGAGCAAATGTTCTATCAAAGGTGAGACCTAACAGGGCAAGTAGAATGTGTGCGATGCTCCTAGGTCTCCTGCTTTGGGCTGCATCATTTGTGCCCCACATGACTCCGGGGATGTCTTTGATAGAAATGGCATCCTCCATGTTGTTTGGTGTACAACTTGCATGATGTTGTGGGGGCAGCCCCCAGATGCTACATCAACAGGACCAAGTGGGAACGTTCAGGAGAGAAGCAAGACAGAAACCCAGAGAAGTACATTCAGGTTCCAACTGTGGAGAGAAGAGGTAGGGTAAGGATTTTTAACTTTAATTTGTAGACCCTAAACAAATGATTTGAGATGACTGGTTGAGAGACATGAACGTTAAGTTTGAAAGGGACAGATTGGGTACTGGAGACCAGAGATGATCACTTAAGCATGAAGCTAAGTGACTAAGGATTGGCCAATCAAGTGTGAAACTATTTTAGTTATCTAGATACTATGTAAAAAGATATGAGTAGTGGTGGTAGCAGCAGTAAGAAAAAGAAAGGCAAATATGGAAGAGTCTCTTCAGTATTTCTACAACCATTTTTTTTCCAGTGTTTAATAAGCACGAGGTACTGTGGATGATGCTGGTGATCTGTAAGCCATATAGGTGTGTCATCATAAAGCCAGTCACTCACCAAATGAACACATATTGTTGTTATTCTATAAATGCAAAGCTCAAGCTGATATGAGAATACATAACCAATGATGTCTGAGCTAGTTTGGGTGTACAGGGATCGGGAATGGCTTCTTCTGAAACATCAAAAGAAAGGTGTTCAGAGTAGAGACTGGGAGGGTGAGTAGGAGCCAACCATGCAAGGACAGGCAAGGAAACCAAAGCGTCTCAGATGTGGGAAGAGTTTGTGCAAAGGCCTAGAGGTGATGGGAAGCATAGAAAATAGCAAGCAAAGGAGAGAGGCGTGAGATGAGGCTGGAGGCAAAGTCGGGAGCCACATGACAAGGTGGGTCTGTTGTTTTTTATCTCAGGAACAAGAAGGAACCAGACAACTTTACATAGGAGGTGCCATGTTCCATTTTGCATTTTGCGATGGGTACCCTTGCCACCTTGTGGAGAGCAGAAGAGCGGTGGGCACCTGGGAAACCTGGCATGAGCTTGTGTGGTTCAGGGGGAAACTTGTTGGGTGGACCAATGAAGATGGCGGTAGGATAGGATATTAGGAGACCCCCAGGACTTGATGATGGCAGATAGGACAGAAGTGCAGAAAAATGGATTGTTGTTAAGTGGTATAGTCAAAGAACGGAATACTACCCGGCAGTAAAAGGGAATGAACTACTGTTACAGACAACAGGAATATATCTCAAAAACATCATGCTCAGTGAAAGAAGTTGAAAAGTAAAGAGAAAGGCTTTGATGAGGGTGTCTTCCTGCCAGTGGTCCTGGAAAGGGCAATTGTGGAAGTGCGTGGTGGCACTGGTTTGGGATATGAAGTGAGAGGGTGAGTGGAAGTGAAAGCACAGTTAGGAAGCATTGGGACAAACAAATGACAAGCAATTGCAGTGGCAAGAGATAAAAGTACCCATAAAGTTGTGTCCGTCAAAACGAGGAGATTTCAGCCATCTCTAAATGATGGCGGTACTGAGGAAGAGTGACAGAGGGACAGGGACTGAAGTGTGTGGAATGGGAGCCCTGGGGAAGGTGAGTCTGCAAGAAGTGGCCACTCAGAGAGAAGCGTCCTGTAACGTCAAGCCAGGAAGCTTGGGCTAGGCAGCACCTTACGGTTTAGAGCTCTCCTAGGAGAGCAATTCAAGTGCTGCTGTCACCACAATACGGTTGCTCATCTAACTGTGTGGCGCTTGTTTAAAGATGGGTTCAAATCAAGTTTAAGGCTAGCTCCAGCCCAGAGTTGAGAGACTCCTCATCTGCCTGTCTTAGCCACAAGCAGAGAAACCATACTGAATGGCACTGTAGCTTTTTCTAGTGTGAATACTGTGGTCCAGAATTAAATCCTACAAGACCCAGCCCTTTGAAAAAAAAAATAGACTGATGACCCTAAACCATCAAGATGCTTCCTTTTCTTTTTCTCTAAAGAATTAGTAATTTGCTTCTGTATTTGAGAAGTCACAGTGTGTTCCTGTGACCAAAGCACAGCAGACTTGCACCATGAGTCCAAATGTTTCTAAAATCCAGGGACACTTGTCTCAATGTTGAGTTAGCACATTAAAAATGACTTTCTTAGCTGAGACCTTCTCTTTCATTTACAGGTGTGCCCCAAGATATCAGTTCAGGAAGACAGTAGCAGACTCTGTGCCAGCTGCTACCAGGAGCCACGAGCCAAATCAGTTATTTCCGGATGCGAAACCAACTTTAGGCTGGCACCAAGGACTCAATGCACTTGCAAGATGAAGCACTTAGGTGAAAGTGAATTGTATTCCCCTCTTTGTAAAGTCTTTTGTGAGAGCAAAGCTTGGATCCACCCAGCCAAGATCAAGTTCAAAACTGTCCTGTTCTAGAGACAAATGGAAACGTTTAGACAATGAGCCATGTGGATTGTACAAGTTCATTGAAAACATAAGCAAGACCTCAGCATCACCCTTCTGTGTCTATTAACAGATGTGGGGATGGGTACCACTCTCTTACAACCATCTAACATAGTTCTGCAACTGGCCTTGTAGCTTTGGACCACTCTCTCACAAGGCAAAGCTCTGGTCCTTTTTCAAGTGTCCTCCTTTCTCATTCCACCCCATTTTCGATTCTTCTGAAAGGGTACTTGCCCCATCACAGGATCTGACCAAATTTTCAAGTGGGTAAAATGACTCCACCTCCAACCTAAGTCCAGCAAAGTCTGGGCTAAATCAAGCTTTAATTACCCCAGAAGTTAGCACACAGTAGAGAATTCAGGGAAGGCTTCAGTTTTAATCAATTATGTCTTGGGAGGAACCACCTGGAAGCTTTTACAATATTGATGTGTAATTTATATACATGGAAATACCCAACATCCACAAATTTAATCCATTTTAAGGACATTGAGACACAGGACATTTTAATCAGCTTGCCATGTCCCTCAGGCTCCCCATTCTTACCCCCAATCAACTGCGGATCTATTTTCCATCATTAGAGATGAGTTTTGTCTGTTCTAGAGTTTTGGAGTTTTTTTTGGGTGGGGTTGTTTGTTTTGTTTTTGTAACCACACAATATGTGCTCTTTTGCATCTTATTTCTTTCACCTATCATAGTGTTTTTGAGATGTATTCATGTTGTATGTAACAGCAGTTCATTCTTTTTTATTGCCTAGTAGTATTTCGTTCTTTAAATATGCCATTTAACAATCCATTTTTTCTGCCAGTGTTCTCCTGGATTTTTCCAGTTCTCAAAGCTGCTATTACATTCTTATATGAAGCTTTATGTAAACATACTCAAAATTACTTTAATTTAAAGATCTGAGCATTCCATGGTATACAAATTATAACCCAGTGTTATAATAAATGTTGTTGATAAAAGCTTAGATTTCAAGTAGTGTCCATGTATGCCTCATGATAAGAGCCTAGAGTGAATGTGTTTAACACCCAGGAAGCACGACAGGACATAGCTGTGAAATGCAGGCAGCCTGCTCTACAGACCATGTTCCATGCGAGCAAGGACATATAGTGGACCCTGTCTCAAGAAAAAGTCCAGGAAGAAAGACAGAAAGAGTGAAATGAAGATAGGAAGGAGGGGATGAGGAAGAGAGGAAGGAATGAAAGAAGGAAGGAAAAAGAAAGAAAGGAACGAAGGAATGAAGGAAGGAAAACATCTGAATAGTTTCCAAAGGAGTTATGCCATTTTAACTTCACTCCATGGAAGCAAATGAAAACTTGCATTGCTCTATATTCTACTTAATATTTGCTGGTATTGATCTTTTAAAAAATTATAGTATGTGTGTGTGTATGTGTGTGTATGTACCATGCATGCCTGCTCTCGAGTGTGCACTGGTGTTTTAATTTGTGCCAGCCTGAAGACTGAAGACGCTGAATACCTGCGCTTGTGCTCCTTAGCCACTTGAGTCTCCTTTGTGAGCTGCCTATTCAAGTCTTATTCTTATTTTAAAAACTAGGTCATCTCTTTATTATTGAATCATAGGATTTCTTTGTATGTTCTGGGTGCAATATATTTGTCATATATAAACACATATAGTGATTCTTCCTCAGTGTGTGGCTTGCTATTTATTTTCTTGATGTGTTGGATGAGCAAACATTGCGTGGCTTGAGTGAGTACAATTTATCAAGCTTTTTCTTCTATGAGTCATCTATGTCCTTCTCACAAAACTTTTGCTCATTGCCAGGGGGCAAAGTATTCTTCTTTTAGACTTTTATGTTTTTCCCTTGTGACTTTATTGTATTACTCTCACATTTAAGTTGTTGACCCATTTTAAATGGATGCTGTGTGTGTGTACAGTGTGAGATGGGTCAAATCTTTCTGCCATTAAAAAAAACCAACTGCATCCAGATATTCTAAATCAGTTTTTGAAGTTTCCTTTCTGCTATTGAATTAAAGAAGTCACTTTATTGTAGGTGTGTGGGTCTATTTCTGGACTCTATTCTGTTCTTAGCCATGTCTTCTAAAAGTGTTAGCAATGATTTTGAAGCAGAAATGGATTGAGATTCCTAGCTATACAGAGATTTATGAATTAGGTCAGTCTTATATTAAACATTAAAGAAGATTAATTTTATTTTAAATTATGTGTATGTGGGTATGTGCACATGAGTGCAGGTACCCATGGAGCCCAGAAGGTGGCATAACATTTCCTGGAGCTGGAGTTTCAGATAGTTGTGAGCCACTCAATTTGGGTGCTAGAAACCAAGCTCAGGTCCTCTACAGGGGTGGTAAGCACCCCTAGCCTTGACTGATTAGCTATGTCTCAGCACCAGTAAGCACTTTTAAAATCACTGAAAAGATTCTCTCGTGTTAGTGAACACAAAGCCGTTTATTTGATTCTCATGGAAGTCCTTGGGGGGAAGTGGCTACCAGGAGCCAAAGAGTGTTGTGTGCCTTGGCTTTTACTCCCTGCAGTAAGCAATGTCACATACAAAGGAAGTGGAACCAGGGAAGCATTAGCTGGTTTGAGAATAGAAACAGAGGGAACAGTGAAGCCTGGAGAGGCATGGGTGTTGGCAGGGTTGGGAAAACCGTCTGCTCCAGATCCCAAATAAGCTGCTGCCTTCCTGCCCCAGCCTGTTATTTCAAATGGCTGTGTGGCAGCTGCCCCGAAAGTGGAAAAAGCCATCTTACATTGAATCCTTTGCAATTAATTAAAACAAAAATCCCAGTTCTTATCCTTCGCATGTGGTATCCACCCTCTCCTCCAGAGGTCTGGCTAATGGCAGTTCACGTCCTTGCTCTCTTCAGAAAGAGCCATGTCTCCTTGAGTTCAGACCACTCCTGCACGTTTTGATGGCTCAAGTGGGGCTGTGACTTGTGGTCCATCCAGGGTCTTATTGTTGAGAGGCTTGGGTAGATCTTTTCCAGCTTTTACATCCCATGTGGAAACAGCCCCACCATGGTGACTTAGAACCATGGTCTTCACTCTGTGTAGCAAGGGACTGTCATATCTGCATTACAACCCCATTACCGCACCTGAGACTGTCCCGGTGTTGACTCCGACCACCTGCCTCTATCCCCACACCTCTCCCTAAAGGTAGGACTTGGTATTTATTTCTATTATCAATAAGATGCATAGATTTTTGGCAAAACTAAATTGTTGATTAATTGGTGAAGAGAATGCCTTTGCCAATCTCTCTCCTGGCAAATACTTCCCATCTTTCAAGACCAGAAGCAATGCTGTTTCCTGGGAGAAAATGAAGTTTCCCTTACGAAGACTTGGTTGTTTTCTCTATACATCTACTTAATACTTTGTGAATTTCTTCCATAGGCAGAGCATTTGCTGGTTACAGATCTGTTTGGAGTGTAAATCAGTTCTTATTATTTTATTTTGCAACATGTGGGACATATAAATATAATAGCTTCTCAGACATAAAGTGAATTTAATTTTTTTACATTTGTTTATTTATCTATTTATTTAGTGTGTGTGTGTGTGTGTGTGTGTGTGTGTGTGTGTGTGTGTGTTTATCAAGGTATACATGTGTCAGTCAGAGGACAACTTACAAAACTTGGCTCTCTTCTTTCCATCACATGGGGTCTGGGGACTGAGCTCAGTAGGTCGTAAGGATTTGTAGGAAACACCTTTACAACTGAGCCACCTTGCCAACCCACAAAGTAAGTTTTTCAATCAAAGGACTGAGTACCTTTGCTGAATAATTATACTATTTACATTTATTCAACCTTTAAGTATTCTGTGTATTTGTGATGGTTTGCCTAAGTGTATGTATTTTGTCCTCTAAAGATGTTAATAATTACAAAATTTGCTTAGAGTGCACAGGAGGGGCCTGTGCCACCCTTAGTTCCCACCTACCCTTCCAGGCAGACCACGGCAGTTCTTTTCCCTCGTGATCTCAGACGTGAATTCAGAATCCCACTTTCCAATGACTCCATCAGTGAATCACCTTAGGATAAGATTATTTCCTCCTCCCTCATCCTGAGAGCAGAAGCCACAAGGTCGCCCTCGATGACCTTGCTGCTGGTACCTAAGAGAATACTCTAATAAAGCTGCAGACACTCCACAGATTCCTGTCTCTCAGAACTTAATCCCATTTGCATTTTGGCTATGATCAGATGGTGGAAACACAAACTCCAAACTGTCAATCAACTTGGGCTTCTTTTCCAACTTTTCATAAATATATTTCTTTAAAAATTGTTGAACATTCTTGAACCACTAAAATGGCACAGCTAATTTTTTAATTATTGCAATGTTTTTAAATCTATATTTTATAGTTCATAACCTAGAATTGTTCATTGCTGAAAATCTACAATGTACAAATGAATATGTATGTGTGTAGATGCATATGTGTGTGTATAAATGTTGGCATTCTGAGATTTGAGGAAGAAAAGAGAGAAGATATTTACTGAAAATATATTTTTCATATTGTCCAGTTTTTACCTTTAAATATCAGTTGAAAACATTTTTAAAGTATATAGATTTCTGGCATGTAATTTATCTTCAAAACACAAATTAAACCTAACCAGTTATAAATTTGAGTTTCTTTCTGAATTAACCATGTTGGCATTACCCCAGTTACCTCCTTATGTTCGCATGGTTGCTTCCAGACTCTATGTAGAATTTTATGCCTCTGTAGTATCAAATTTGTTAAATGGCATATTTTTATATCAGTAATTTTTATAGCATATTGTTATTCCAGACTTTTACATGTCTCTAATTTATTCTTAACTTCAACACAGCAGTATTGATTTTTTTTCTAAGTTTGATGGCATGAGCTTTTGGTTGTGGTTTAGAGACCTAGCACAATCAATAATTTCCACTTCTTTTTTCTGTTCTTTCTCAAATCTAGGTGTTTGAGCAGGTGCAACAGTAAGCATAAATGTTCCTTGTTTCGCTTTTATTTCTCTTTGAGAAACATTTCAATTATCTCTTGCAATGATTGTGATTAAGTATCTTGATGACTGAATTATCTAGGGCACTTCAGTGCCTAACAGTAAGAATAATTTTGTTTGCAAGTCAAATGGGACCTGTCTCTTTAAAGCACATTCCCTCTTCCTAGTCCCCCCAACAAAGAGTCAGTTGGTCATAGTCTTTTCTGTAGCCCGAAATTCATTGTTTTACCAAGTGTGGTCACTGGGTTGCAGAACTGGCCTGGGAAGGATTTAGGGGCAGGGTCCCTGCAGGTGCTGTAGCTCTGGCTGCCAGGATTAAGGTAGCAGGGACAAAGGAGGCTGCAGACCATCGTAAGTGCTGTAAAAAGTAAGATTTCCAAGTGCCTCAGTTGAGAGGACGATTTTGTCCTTAGATACCTCATAGTCGATACCAGCTGTCCCAGGTAAATGTTTGTTCCTGAGTTATTTAGGCTCTGGTTCAAACAGTATTGACAGAGACCTGCACAGAGCATCAGAGTTTTTTGTTTTAATTGTATCATTTAATTTTTGGCACAGAATTATGGCCATATTAATGGAAATGAAAATGAAGAAGAAAAATTAAACTGAAAATCAAGTCTTTTCTATTTTCTCTTGCTATAATTTATGTGGAGTTTTAATCATAGACTTCATAATTTTCTTTTCTAGTTTATACATTTTTTAATTTTTTGAGAGAGATTCTTGTTATGTAGCCCAGGATGAGTTCAAATTTATGACCCTGTTCCTTCAGTGTCCTGAGTGTTGATGATAACTGTGCATCACCACACCTGGCTTTCTGTTCTAATTTTTAAATAACATATGGAAATCATGTTTTTGTTACTACAGACAATTTGTAAGACAAACTTGATATGTCATGTGTTTTCACATACTGATAGACATTCTTTGAAATAAACCAGTTTTTTAAATATTGAATATATATAAAATTTACTAAATTATCCACAAGTTACAAAGAATTACCAAAACACCAATATCCAGTATATTTGCCATCCAGTTGGAAATAAAGAACTATCATCTATATCTTTAAAGGGCTCTATGTATTTTTCTTACCTCATCCTCTTGCTTCATCCATAGGTTACTTAGTCACTATTTATTATATTGTATTAGTCCAGGTTCTCTGGAGGAACAGAATACACACACACACACACACACACACACACACACACACACACACACACACAACACACACAGATTATATATATAAAGAGGATTTATTAGATTGACTTACAGGCTGTGGTCCATCTAGTCCATCAATGGCTGTCTGCCATTGAAGGTCCAACAATCAAGTAGTTGTTCAGTCCACAAGGCTGGATGTCTCAGCTGGCCTTCATTATATGCCAGAATCCTGAAGAAGTAGGCTCTAATACAAGTGAAGGAATGGACTTGCCAGTGAGAGTGAGAGCAAGCAGGCAAAGAGAGCAAGCTTCCTTCTTCCATGTCCTTTATATAGACATCTAGCAAAAGGTGGGCTGAAATAAAAGGTGTATCTTCCTGTATTAGTCAGGGTTCTCTAGAGTAACAGAACTTATAGAATTAATCTCTCTATATATATATAGAAAGGGGATTTATTAGAATGACTTACAGGCTGTGGTCCAGCTAACCCAATAATAGCTGGCTATGAATGGAAAGTCCAAGAATCCAGTAGTTGCTCAGTCCACAAGACTGGATGTCTCAGCTGGTCTATGGTATATGCTGTAATCCTGAAGAAGCAGACTTTAATGCCAGTGAAGGAATGGACTTGCTAGCAAGGGGAGGGAGAGCAGGCAAAGAGCAAAAGCATCTTTTATGTAGGCTTCCAGAATAAGATATGACCCAGATTAAAGGTGTGCATTCTTGCCTCAATATCCAGATTAAAGGCATATGTCTTTTTATCTCAAAGATAAAGATTAGAAGTGGATCTACCTACTTCAAATTTAGCAAAAATTCTTTATAGTTGTGCTCTTTATTTTTGGATTTT